AAAGAAAGAAAGAAAGAAAGAAAGAAAGAAAGAAAGAAAGAAAGAAAAAATCCTTTATAGAATTTATAAAAAGAAAACTCGGTCCTTGGTTTCAAGGCAGTAAAAAAAAAAAAGAGGAAATAGGTTGCGACGCTTTAAGCAGACGCTGTAGGGAGAGTCAAAATCTCGATGTATGAAGTCGTTGGATCGTCTCTGGACACTCTCCAAGCGAATTGGAGTTTGCCGTAAGATGGCATGCTGATTACGTATTAAGTTAACTACATTATTTCTGGGGAAATTATGCCGCTAAGAATATTCTTTTCTCTGTGAGAATAATGGTGTATGATCATAAATGATTATCATAACGTCCTTTTTATGTATGCACSGAATCAAAAATACCGAACAAAGTTTTTCATCGAAGTTAAGAGCGAGGGGTATTATGGGTAGTCGATATCATGGGCATTTGGAGMGCGTTTGGATACAGACACACGCATGAGGAGTGACAAGATTCTTTGTTCGGTAACTTGAACCAATTTTCGAGATTTGCAGAACATCAGGACTGCACTGTGCATAATATTAGCCTCATTAACTGTTTACCCACAAACCTTTCGATCTCGATGATTGAACCTTTTGAACACGACAACGTTTTTTTTAATTTGGTGTGTACTCAAAAGTGCTTACAATCAGGAGAGGTGATAAGTACTGTGGAGGTGGTAAGTGGAGGCCCTAGCACTGAGGGTGGTCACTGACAAGGTTTCTTTACGTCGTCAACGGTTGTTGTTCGTCCCCCTATTTTTGATTGGTAATGATAAAGTGCGGGTAAACGGCACCACCCTTTAGCAATCATGCAAGCCACATGAAGTCACACGTGTAACCATTTGTAGAAGTACTAACCTCATTATTATACTTTGTTATTTTAAGACCGATGCTCAACCAACTGAGCCAACCGGAGTTGATAATGAAGGAAATGATGACACTTATGGTTGTGGTGGTGGAGATAACTGATGATGATGATGGTAGTGATGATTATGATGATGATAGGTTGTGSTGCTGTTTCTATACTACTGCGCTGCATGTCCTGCTGCTGCTGACGACGACGACGATGATGATAGTGATGATGATGATGTTGGTGGTGATGATATTAATGATGATGGTGRTGGTGATGGTATTGATGATGATGAARATGACGAYGATGATGACCATGATAATAAGATGATGGCGGTGGTAATGATTATGATGAGAATAATGGCGATGATATTGGTGGCGATGGTTTTGATGATGATTATAATGATGATGGTGCTGTTAATGGTGATAATGGTGGTGATGAAAATAGTGGCGATGGTGATGGTGGGGATGATAATGATTATAACGATGATGGCGTTGTTTGTGTTGCTAACGATGATGCTGGTGCTGAAGATGATGATGGCGCTCTTGATGAAGCTGATGATGATAATGATAATAATAATGATGTTGATGTTGATGATAATGAAAATACTGATGATGCTGATGATGCTGATGATGATGATGATGATGATTGTGACGGTGGTGGTACTCATGGTAATGGTGCTAATAACCAAAGATCAAATATATATCATATCAATATTACTTCAACAAAATCCCAAAAACCGGTAACCCATTAGTTTAATTTATTAATACGTATAAGATACAATGCTTGTCGCCGCGCTCGAGGTTCCACTTGAGTTTGGATCATATGACGG